TGGTAGATTGCTGACTTGGGGTCCTATTTACGGTTACCAGAAGTTGCCTGAAAATTGTCACTAGACCTGCGCCCTTCGTTTCGTTCCCAATCAAAATTCAGAACAAATTTTCTGAAATTCGGACACATCCGAATTTCCGAATCCCAATGCATCCGAATTTCCGTTTCCGAGTTTCGGATCCCGTCCGAATTTCGTTTCGAAAACTAAACTGAATGGGACATGTGACTTTTCTGGCCAATCAGATGTGTTTTCCGGTTTAATGCCTCCGAAGGGGTCGGAACACGAATTTTCGTTACGTCAACATGGGAGCCATATACAGTCTATACATATAATACTAAAGCTGAGGCTCCCAGACCCGAATGGCATTCGGGATCCGAATTTCTGAATTGCATTGGGGAGCTCCGGAATGCCATTCGGGTCTGGGAGCCTCAGCTTTAGTATTATATGTATATGGCTCCCAGACCCGAATGGCATTCCGGAGCTCCCCAATGCAATTCGGAAATTCTGATCCTGAATGCCATTGGGGTCTGGGACCCGAAATATATCTTCTGAGCAACAGAACAAAATCTTCGCTATCGCATTAAATCTGACCTCTGGCCTCCCCTTTCACTCTTCTATCTGACCTCCGGCCTCCCCTTCAGTCCTGCACAGTTGTACCGGCTCCTCTTCCTCTGATATCTCTGCACACCGGGAGCTCCCCACAATGTGCATTAGAAGCTGCAGCAAGTCAGATAGAGCCCGCCTCATTTCCTGGCTGCATCATCTAGCTCTTTCCTCCCCAGCCTGACTGCCCCTGGCCCCGCCCCTTTCATTCATCATATTTCAGTTCAGCCAATCACAGAGGCTCAGCATGACATGTGGGCGTTAACTAGGATGGTCTTCATGCAAATGCAGCCTGCCTAGGAACACCCAGTTCTCCAGACTGACACCCTCCCATCAAGGCATTTTGATATTTGCATAACTCCTCCCAAGAGCCGGCCCACTGCTTTCATCAGGGCTGAAGGCTGTTGAGAGGAAAACGGAGGCAGGGTGCTGTGATGTTTTCGGAAAGCTATGTGCAGCTCTTCTCACCAGCCATGATCTGCTTCCGTTCCTTAGGATGCATTAGTAATGACACCACTGGGTTGTTGTCATGTTGATGGAGGGAGGGGAGGAGCCAGGGAAGGAGGGGAGGAGCCAGGGAAGGCAACATATGAGCAGCCTGAACCTCAGCTTTAACCCAAAACTAGACTTAGGCTTGAAAACGATGAGCAGTTTATTGGTTTAGGGTGGTGAGTTCCATATAAGAGGTGAAGCCCAGGAGGAGCCGTCCTGGAGATGAGAGTGGGAGGAGCTTATGAAAGAGGTGAAGCTAAGAGAAGATGTCACACCCCTCCAGTGAGGTCAGTCATGTCCATCGTTCCTCCGTCACCCCCCTTATACTCTAGCATATCAGGAATATGGATGGCGCGGCCCTAGGGGGAGATGATGGAAGTGTGCAGCGAATGGTCTATTCCTCCCGGCGACCCTTCGTGGAGGCCGGGAGCAGACCGGGGACAATGGCGTCTCTTACTATTCACATCAAAGTATAGAAACTGCTGATATCATCTTACCTCGTTGATCTGCTTCATGCGTCGCTCTTCCAGCTCCATCTTTGCTCGCAGGAAGTTGGCGTGTTCAGAGCCATCGCGGGGTGACTCGAAGTAGATGTCCACCCCGTCGGTAGGTCGGGAGACTGTGGAGCAAGCAGACGGAAAATGTTACTGGGGTGCATAATGGAGGCAGCTGGGTAGGCAAACCCAATGGTCAATCCGTCCTTCACCAACAGTCAGTGACTTTGCCTAGGCTGAGATGATGTCATCAGTCTGCTGCAGGCAGGAGGAATCATTTCCTCAGTCTCCCCTCCCCCAGTGATCAGTCTGCTGCAGGCAGGAGGAAGCATGTCCTCAGTCTTCCCTCCCCCAGTGATCAGTCTGCTGCAGGCAGGAGGAAGCATTTCCTCAGTCTCCCCTCCCCCAGTGATCAGTCTGCTGCAGCAGGAGGAAGCAATTCCTCAGTCTCCATATCCCCCCAGTGATCAGTCTGCTGCAGGCAGGAGGAAGCATTTCCTGAGTCTCCCCTCCCCCAGTGATCAGTCTGCTGCAGGCAGGAGGAAGCATTTCCTCAGTCTCCCCTCCCCCAGTGATGAGTCTGCAATATTGTAACTAATGCCAAAAGAGAGGGGTATCTGACCTTTGACCTCTGGCGGGAGGGTGGGGGCACTGCTGGTTGTCTCGTCCTCATATCCATTCCCCACAAAATAGTCGTCCCACACTTGCGGGTGCTGGTCCTGTGTGGCCCCCGCCGTGTCCTCTCCTCCTTCGTCGATGATGTCAACATTGTCCTCTTCGATCTCCACCTCGTCTCTGACGGAAAGAGAGTTGATGAGAAAAGTGACGGCGGCAGAGATTGCGCAACGCAGAGCTACTGGCGAGAGGCTGTAGTCCGGCAGATAAACACTAAGAAAGCCCTGCTGAATTTTAGCTTCTGTGAGTGCCAGGAAAAGCCAAGTCTGCCCTGCGCAAGCTGCGTAAGGATGGAGGGGGAGGGGGGGGGCAGACACATAGGGGCTGATTTATAACGTGTTCGCACAGCATGCATCTGTGTAAATGACATTCGGTTCACATTGTTGCCACTAGATGGAGCCGAGGAGCATAGGACATTCCTCTGCTCCTCAGCGCCATCTAGTGGCAACAATGTGCAGCAAAGGTCGCTCGCACAGATATATACGACGCGCGAACACATTGTAAATCAGACCGATAGCCTCTGGCTCCGCCCACCGTTCCTCTTACCCCTTTTCTGTGTCCTGCGGCTCCAGCTCGGTGACCGGGTGGCTCCTGGTGGGTTCGATGGGTTGGGGATTGCGGGTCGGGCAGCACACATACTCCACCCCACGGAACCTGTCTGGGTGGCAGGGGAGCAGCATGCCATAGCTGTGGAGGTCGAGGTTCTCTGCCGCGCAGGCCTTATAGAGGGGGAAGAAAACAGACTGTAAGTGCAGCTTCGGATGGACCTGTCCTCTACATGGTGACGCGCGGCCGGCATTGCTCACCGTGCGGGCCGTTTCGTGCCAGTGCTGGTAACTCTCGCAGGTGTCCATCTGTTCTCGGTGAAGGAAGCGGCATTTGTCGGGTACCAGGAGGGCGTCGCTGACAAATTCATTCACTGCAATATAGACGGGGGGGGGGGATCAGAGAATTAGGAATACAATGAGCACCTGTCACCCAACATCCAACCACCTAACAGCTTCAGTCTCAGGGACTCTACTGGTGAGATCCTTCCACTGAGTTCCGGGGTCTGTACACCCGCTGTGCCCATTATGAGGAGCTCCCACCATCCCTGTGCTGAGTTCCCGGGTCTGTACACCCGCTGTACCCATTATGAGGAGCTCCCACCATCGCTGAGCTGAGTTCCGGGGTCTGTACACCCGCTGTGCCCATTATGAGGGGCTCCCACCATCCCTGAGCTGAGTTCCCGGGTCTGTACACCCGCTGTGCCCATTATGAGGAGCTCCCACCATCCCTGAGCTGAGTTCCGGGGTCTGTACACCCGCTGTGCCCATTATGAGGGGCCCCCACCATCCCTGAGTAGAGTTCCCGGGTCTGTACACCCGCTGTGCCCACTATGAGGAGCTCCCACCATCCCTCTGCTGAGTTCCCGGGTCTGTACACCCGCTGTGCCCATTATGAGGGGCTCCCACCATCCCTGTGCTGAGTTCCCGGGTCTGTACACCTGCTGTGCCTATTATGAGGGGTTCCAGGCAGACAATGACATGGCAGCTCACCCTGGCATAGGTACGGGACCACAATATGTAGACGGCGCTTGCACTCCGGTTTCTGCTTCTGGCACCAGTTTGTCACTGTCACCGGCTGAGCTGCCTCTGTCACCCCGGTGATCTGTAGCTCCGGATACATCTGATGGAGGAAAGGAGAGGATGACATGGCTTATTACAAGGGTGAAGAAGGAGGCAAGGGGCTCCGGGGGCCCATGGCAGTCAAGGGGCCCAATCCTAACTGTTTCTCTCTGCTTTCTCCTCCCTATAGACTCAGATCACAAAGCTAACTCACCAGGATAAGGATCTGTACACTGTATGGCCAAAGGTCGTGGACACCTGACCTATATGAGCTTGTTGGACTCACCATTCCAGGACCATGGCTGTTAATATGGAGTTGGCCTCCCTTTGGGGCTATAACACTGTTCTTGACATCTGATCATGTGACAGCAAGGCTTGGGGTAGGAAGAGGCAACCCGAGACAGTTGGCCTAGAGAGGCAGAAGGTTAAACATGGACCTCATGGTGGTGCAGCAAAAAAAGAGGGGGGTATCTTAAGAGATGTGTCTTTCCAGGCTCCAATAAAGGTGTACTAGATGGCCTCCTGACCAACACACCTATGAGCTTGCTGGACATCTTATTCCAAAACATGGTTATTTATATGGAGTCCCCCCCTCCCTCCCCCCCTTCTAGGAAGGCTTTCCACAACTTTGGAGGGTGTTTGTGGGACTTTGTATCTTTTTGTGAGGTCAGGTACCGATGTTGGATGAGAAGACCTGGCTCACCATTGGTCTTCCCAAAGGTGTACAGTAGGGTGGAGGTCAGGTGCAGGACAGT